GGGAAACAAAACAAGACATGAATGAAGCTCTGGTTCTGCAAACAAGCCTGGGAGCAAAAGCAGTGTCCTCGGTGACTGTATTTGCTGTGTACACAGATAATTATAGGGCCAGCTTTTCAGGAGCTGCTTCATTATGTACACTGGGGAGTTTAATTCCCTCTGCATCTTCCAGAGCTCTGCACCTAACCAACAACCTCAGGAGCCACAAGGCAGCCACAGGAAAAGGCTCCTCCAGGTGCTCTGCAGTACTCTGGGGGACTTGTGCAGCAGGGGCAGCCTCAGGGTGCTGCACTAGAAGCCCTGGGCCCAGGTGGTGGAGCCAGGGGATCTGCCTTAATCCCTGTGCTCAAAGGCTGCTGCAATGCAGCTTTGCTGGGTTTAGCCACTGTGATGAGGCATCCAAGGTAGAAACCAGAAGCAGAGACTTGTGGAGGGGCAATCTCTTGTTTCTTGTTTTATTTTGGGTTTTGTTAGTTTGTGATGTACTTGGCCCAGATGTTTTGAGCTGGCTGGCAGAGGATGCAAACTGACTGAGGGCAGGGTAAGTGGGTTCATTTTCCCCTCACTATTGTGAAGATCTCACGGTGAGAGAGACCCTGCTCTGCAGCAGTGCCTGAACTTGAGAAACATGGAAAATGGCGAGGATAGCAGCTGAGCCTGCCTGACAGCAAAGCAAGGCTGCAGAGCTGTGTAGGAGCTGTTGTCTTTACCCCAGGGAACAGGGAATTGGGTTGCACTGTGGAAGATGCTACTTAACATTCGTCCTTGGTGAGAAAGGATTTTAATACCACCAGAAGCAGAATATTACAAAGACCTGAAGGTTCAGCAAAGGGACTACAATTTTTGTGTTTCCTCCCAAATGAACTGCTGTGTATGGCATAAAATAAGTAAATGTTCCTTAGAGGTGAGGGCTGGGTCCCAGGAGTGCTCCTCACATAACCTACCCAGACAGAAACCAGCTGCCAGGTCCTAAGTGGCACCATTTAGCTCTCTTGGGCATTTCCCTTTGGTACCTGTAAGAGCTCTGGGGATACAGAGGTTTATGCTACAGCCCATTCCTCAGAATTTGCTACTGGTTGGCAGGGTGTTTTGCCATGTAGTGTTCAGCTTTCATCAGC